ATTATCCATGTTCTGTCAATCCCATTTGATTATGTCATTTTCGCAGTTTGTATTATAGTTGTGTTGCAATTTTGAAGGGCAGACCATAAATCTGATCTTAAATCTCCTTTAGATTGTTCAAGCTGCACCCAAAAAAACATAAACAACAATTGCAACATCTGCGTTTCTTCAATGCATGTGTTATATCATGCAACAGGTAAAAGACAGGGAATCAGCCTGGTGAAATCAGACACATTTACACCTAATTTGCCTACAAAGGGTTTGGACTGAACTTAATGTGTGTTATTTTAAAGCTGATGAAACCACCCAAATAGTCAGTTGCCGTAGTAACTGCAGATTATTAACTATCAAGACCATACAATCCACCAAACTGCCTTATGTTTTTCACTCAGATCTCAGAAAAATGCAAATGGCTACATGGTGGAAAAGAAACCCAGCAGCACTGTGGTCCCCAAAGACTCAGAAACCACAGAGGTTTCAACAGAACAGACAGTGACCCATATTAGGTCCCATAGGTGGAGAAAGGCTCGACTGAATAAATGTAAAGAATAGAGCCTAGCTGATGCAACTGCAAGCTGATATCACAAGCTAAAACCAGCTTATATTAAATAAATGAGTTGTGTTTTTTTTAACTGGAAAATATGCGCCACACATTAATTGTACAGGTTCCATTTGATGTAATTTGGTCCTGATTGTGTGTTAGTCTTTTTATTCACATTGTTCTTACAAAGATTAACCTTTAAAATGTAATCTTAGTAAATTTAGTCACATAAAACATCCAAATCAATGTTAGAGTACTAGTATTAGTACTAGTATTAGATGGAGCCTAATCAGGCTTTAGTAAAGCATGTGATATATGCAGAAGGCACTTCAAGTACAGTACAGTATTATCCATCCTATCCCACACAATGTTAATATGGTTATGGACTGCTCTCAGTCAGCAGGTATCGTTTTCATACCTTAAGCTCGTGCCCTGCTGCCTGCCTGCCTAGTATCATTTATGATCTGGCTGTAGGAATCTGCTGGATCGGCCTCCAATCTGAGAGTCTACCCGGCTGAATTAAGAGCTGCTGACAATTTATTGTCAAGCTTCAAGTGGCTGTATTAACCTTTACAACTTCTCCTTGTGTGTGTGTGTGTGTGTGTGTGTGCGTGCGTGCGTGCGTGCGTGTGTGCGTGCGTGCGTGTGTGCGTGTGTGTGTGTACGGAGGCAGGTAGCAGGTACAGTCTGTGTCCGTCACACTGGCAAAAGACAGGAAAGGACAGATGTAAGACACAGATATCGAAGTACAGGTTATTAAAGACACACAGGGACAACGTTAGCAGAAAGCTGCATGAGGAACAGCTGAAAAGATGGGAGAGCGGATCAACACTTTTGAAACTGTACTGAATATAGATCAATTCCTGGTAAGGTGAATTATTTCTTCTATTAAGATTTTTTTTTAAAGTTAGCACGGTGTTTGTAATGACAAGTTGTAAGATTTTTTAATAAAGTAATATTTTCTGATGTGACAATGTGTTACACACAGATCTCATTCAGGAGAAGATGTGTTGTTTTTTGTGGATTACTTAGTATGAAGTTGAAATACGGGTTCATTTGTAAACATACAACTTTACAGGTTGATGTATTTTCTCTTTTAGCCATAGACATGATTTTATATGATTTCATTAGTGCATGGCAGCTTGAACTGTGCTTGGATGGGGCATATAAATGTTTTTTTTCTGGTTAATTAGTGTATTCATATGAAGACAAGTGATAGTGAAGCATGTGTATGTGTGGTGGGAGTGAGTATTGTGTGTGTGTGTGTGTGTGTGTGTGTGTGTGTGTGTGTGTGTGTGTGTGTGTGTGTGTGTGTGTGTGTGTGTGTGTGTGTGTGTGTGTGTGTGTGTGTGTGTGTGTGTGTGTGTGTGTGTGTGTGTGTGTGTGTGTGTGTGTGTGCGTGTGTGTGTGTGTGCGTGTGTATTTGAGAAGGGGGGTAATCTCCTGATCTCTCTGTCAGTGAGCGGGTCAAATTTTATCATTAACCTTGTGTTTTAGGACAGGCCTTTACTGTTGTAAGGCCTCACCACACAAACAAAAACATTGTTTTCACACACTCATAAAAATGCACAAACAAACTTAGCATGCCCATGAACAGTATAAACACACACTTACATATTTATGAATATGCAGAGCTGACTCTCTCTCTCTATCTCATGAGGGTGCAGGAATGTGCTATTATTTTTTTTAATTAAGTCTCAATGTCACACTGCCCTTCAACCCCGACATCTTTTAGCAGCTCTCACTAAAGCTCCCCCTCCCCTCCTCTCTGCAGGCTTGTTTCTGTTTCTGTTGTTTTTCTGTTTTTTACCTTTCTGTTTTATAGTCGTATCACCTTGTTTAAGTGGGCTCATAAAGGGCAGCTCCATGAATGAATTCACAGCTCTTTGACAGCCAACCAGCATAATTTAACACAGGCTTTGTATTTGTTACAAACCCGAGGGAGGAGTGGTTTGCATTTTTTCATTTGCTTCATCCTGTGAGGCATGCAATAAGCACAACATTAGAAGCTGAGTTCTAACAGCAGAGCACAAGAAACTAATAATGAGTTGTGCGAGTGTCAGTGCTGTGCCGTAACGGCCGACTACTTTCATGTGTCCACAGAGAGTAAAGTGCAGAGAAATAATCAGAGCCACGAGGGGAGGTGGAGAGAAACTTACTGCGAGTAAATGAGTGCGAAAAGCGGGGAGGCATGGTGATGTTTCCTCTGGTGCTCTTGACTTGAAGAGGGAAGGTCATTTTACAGTTAGAGAGTCAAATAAAGACAGCAGTGTTACAAAGTGTGTGAACCTGGGGAAATCCCAGTGATGCCTGTTTTTAGTACAAGGTTACACAGTGACACAATAGTAAACACAGCATTGAGAGATGGAGACACCAAAAGTCCCCTAATATCAATTTATCTCAGCTTTCAATGTCTTTCTCACCCTGTCAGTCGTTTGTCTCATGTCTGCCTCGCTCTTTCAAAGTTATTTATTTTTGATGATTAGTTCACAAGAAAGCTTCCCAGAGCCAATAAAGTGACTTCAACAAATGATGTTGCAGCAAAATGTCTTAGTACAACAATATAAAACAAAGAAATAAGCAGATCAGAATTCTTAATCATAAAAAATGTCTAAAGGGAAGGGAAGACAAGAACTGCTTACATTTTTGACAATAAGTGAAGTAGTAGGTTTACCATAAATATTTTAAAAACAAAGACTTTTTTTAATACCAATGACCAAGTTTAAGTATTACAGAAATAACAAAACATGATAAGAAAGCTTCACAGACTTGTTAAGTCAGTTTTTCATCTCTGCTTGAGGCTAGCAGATAAAGTTTGTTAGCCGCTACTAGCAAAACAAACTCTGGGGGGGGTGTGATGATACAGCTCACGAGACGAGATACGATACACGATACATGGGTCACGATGACGACGACGAGAACGAGACGAGAGTTTAACACTATTTTTCAGAAAACTTTGATGACAAAATATCGACTGGTTAAATAGTAGATTGTGTATGCGCTGGCTGCACCTATAGCGTTTGTGAGTCAGACAAAACAAACGTTTGTCAGCAACTATATCTTCAGTTTTTGGAGAAAACACGAGGCTCTGTGGTGGATCACATGCGGTCCAAATGGTGGAGGATGATCTCAACAGATCCTGGATCAGCTGTGACCATGTTTATCCACTGGCTGCCATACAAACTTTAAAAGTGGTGGGGTCATTTTCTTTGGTAATTTCCAGTTCAACGTCAGAATCCACAGTGATGGTTGCTGTGTTTTGTCTATGTAGGCTACTGATAAGTGAATTGTAACAATGATATTGCAAGACAGTTTTCACCTCGGCGAGAAATATCGTCATTTTTTATTATCGCAACATCTTGTTGCACGAGATCACTTCACACCAGTCACACAGGTGTCATAAAAAAATGCAGTATTTAATTATTAACTGAAGACAGTATGTTCAAAACTAATGTCTTGTAAAATGCTACCCTCCCAACACAGAAATAAGACTGACTGCACATTCATTTTGTAAAATTAAAGCAATTTTACATCAAAATAAGATCAGTTGAATAATACAAAAAAGTCCCCATGAAATGAAGAAAACACTTTCCCAGTTTAAGTCCAGCGTTCCTGTGTAAAATTCTCATTTATATGCTAAATGTATTTCAATAAAGCAATATCTGAGTATTTATTACATCAAAATAACCATTTTTTGACTCATCGTGCACATGATGTCCAGCCGTCTATCTTGTGATTGGTTCTATCCCGTTTGAGTTGGAAATATGTCACAATACATGGGGTCATGTTTGTGCTCCCTTGATCCCAAGTTCACTTTAAGCCACTGTCAATATGACTCTTAATATGACACATTACAAGGCTTTTCAATAGTTGCTATGTTCTCAGCAACTTTATTTCTAAGATCAAATATTCACATTTTATTTCCTTGGGTCAATATATTGAAATTGCCCTTCTTTAGCTAACTAATGGTTTTCTTTTTTAACCCACAGCTTCAATTTTGTGAACAGTCCGTGCTTTAGAACAGATTTCCTCACTGCGTATACTGGGTTCTTTCCATTTTAAAAACCCTCCTTTGTTCTCTTCTGGGCTGCAGAGAGCCATTACTGTTTTCTCATAATGCTATTAAATTAAATATTAGACCCTGTAAAATATGGGCTACAGCCCATTTCAGGACAAGGTTAGGGTTAGGATTCTAATGGATTGGTTAATACAGAAGTAAACTAAAAGAACATGTTTGTTCAAAACTTCACTTTCTATTATTTGTCTATAATCTTCTGGTTGTTTATAATGCATGGGAAGTAACATTTGAAGGGCACAAATCTGCCCCTCTCTGTGAACGGTGCACAGGTTCCTCTTGTTCCTGTCCCTGGTTTTGATGGCGTCTGGTGCCAGCGTCTGTTTGATGATGTTGATGGATTGGTGCTTTGGTGTTAATGTGTAGTGCAGTGGTGGTGCTGAGGTTGTCTGCAATGTGGGACAGGAGGCAGAACAGGAGCAGAGCCTGCTAACAAACCATGCTTCAGACATCTGATGAGGAACAGGTAAAGAGGACCAGAGGCTGCTCAGAGGTCGGGGTCGGGGGGGGGGGGGCTTTCTTTTTTAATCATCTTTTGGAAGGAGTTAATGCCACTGTCCAGGGTAGTTATGTGTATTTTTCTTAAACCAAGTGGATAATTTTATTTGTTTAAAAATACTTCTCTCTTTTTCTATTATAGCCTCAATGTGTTATTTATGCAGCTAGACGCAGTGCCTTTTTGTGATCGTGTTTCTCTTAATTGGATTATTATAAGACTATCAAAACATAAAGAGGACAACAATACAAGGTAATAGCATAAACAGCATTATAATCAGCGTTTGTTTAAAGTTCAACCACATTTTATAACTTTGATTTTAGTACAACATCATATGCTGGGACTCCAAAACAGGCATTCAGTTTTGATTTTTTTTTTTTTTTTTGCCTCGCATGCTGTTTTGGTCACATTTTACAAATAATCTCCTAACTCATGTGGAAGGAAACTCCTTTCAAATACTGCTTTGCTATTTTTTTGACAGCAGACTTGGCTGCAAGACGCAAATGGAAGTAATATCCAACAGGATTTTTCCATAGCGCCAGGAAATTAAAATAACTAAAAGTAGTTTGGATTCCTTTGTATAATTACTGGCTTGCTCAGGTTTTGCAGTAAATGCACCACACAGCCTAATTAACACAGTTAGCTTTGCTTTGTATAATAATATAGCTTGCTAGTTAATTTTTTGGCATGAGAAGTTTTAGGAGCCGTTTACAGTGTAAGTCCTAACGCCTTACTATGGAGGGTATTTATGTACTAACTATATACTTCTGTTTCAGGCATGTAATGTAGTGACTCCTATATTACAGTCAACTGACTGGAAAGTAAAGGTTTTTTTTTTGCATTTATAGGGCAGAAGGTCTAATGAAAAGACAGATTACACAAGCTGTACTGTGATTACTGAATCATGTTCACATCGGATGAGACTGTTGACTTGTTGTTGTTTAATTATGAGCACTTGGCTTAGCTTTGGTTCAGGTCTCGGGCCTCACGGTTGGATGTGTCAGCTCTTCTTTCCTGTGTGAACATGAGACAGAAATGTGTGGCAGGCAGCCCTCTGTATGATTTAGCTTTGCTGTGTGGAGGGATGCATGTGATCTGTAGGTTTCAGTTGCACATCGTGGCTGCACCTGGATCCGCAGTATTTTACAGCTTCTTTGGTTTACACGAGTGCAGTGCAAACCGATCACACTGGATTACAGGAGGCTAGGTTGACTGACCAAGTGTGTGTGTGTGTGTTTGTGTGTGTGTGTGTGTGTGTAGACAGAAAGGGGAAGATGTGGAATGCCCTCTCTTCCACGATCTCTTCCTCTGGCTTCTCTCCAGCCCCTGCCTCCGCTCAGGGAGGGGTTTTTCCGATCTCGATGCCCGTTTTGTCTATTTCTGTCTGACAGGGTATTCAAGTTGGTGTGTATCCCTTACACACACACCGCACATTCCCCTTTGCTTTCTCGTTATCTCAAGACTCTTCACACTGGATCTAGTTTTATCCTTCTTCTAAGTCTCAGTTGTCGTCTCCTTCTCTAGCCTGTCTCCCCTCCTCTTATCTGGCCTTTTGTTTTCCTTCTCTTGAATAGTGAATAGTTAGTTCTGTACCTTTTTATTCCGTAGTGATTATCATTGTTTCTCCTCACATACAGCTGTACGGTGAGTACAGGGAGCAGCTGGGAAACTTTGCCCGACGGGAAGCTGCCCGTTTGCTGACAGAGAGACAATGGAGGAGACAGGCGGGGGAAAACACAAGCAGCTCTCGCAAAGGCCTCGGCCGGCGGCATCATCATCATCATCACCACCACCATCACCCTGTGACCTTGGAGTCTCATCACAGCCACGCCTCCTCTACCCAGAAGCCTCGCTCCTACTCCAAATGCCAAGGTGACCTGAAGGAATGTGGAGATTTTCTATTCAAATGTCATACAAAAGGTTTTCTGAGTCCCTCACCAAGAAAAACAGTTGCCATGGCCATGCTTTAGTTGTTGCCATGACACTTCATGTGGTAACATGGAAACAAAAGTGCAAATGAACAAATTTCCTTTGATTTCACTGAACACTATTTTCGAGGTAAAGGCGCTTCACATATAACCTTATAGTTTAATCACATTTTCCAGGAAGCAGCATCTATCTGATGGCTTCAGTTACTGGTAACTTTGCACATTTTGATTTTACATGCAACATGAGGTGCTCATAAAATATGATGCACTGCTACAGTTTAATTAGACTCTCATGCAGAATATGATGCAGTCCGATTTAGCACCACCTGGTTTAAGGGCTGTGGACAGGATTTAAGGTCAGCACTCCTTTAATGTCTATCATCCATATATGAAGACACATTGTTAACAATTTTTGAATAACAATATGAATATGAGGCTATTTCAATGCAGAAATGTCCAATTTAGGTTAGTGTTTGTTTTATTAATATGTTGTACTACCTTCATCGCAAACCTGGACTTCCTTAAAGATACTTTCGGGTCAGTGCATGGAAAAGTAAAAAAATATACTTATTTTATGAACTACATCAAAACATCAGCATGTTTATTCTCTGAAAATGGAGAATGAAAAACTGCTGTTGTTAACAGGGGTGTGTCCAGAGGGGTGGCCAGTATTGGCCCCCCTTGAAATCTGATTGGCCAACCCAGGTGCACCCCAAAATCAAAATCTATGATTGGCTATTTGCTATTTGACTTACTTAAGAAAAACAACAGACTAGTGGTAATACTTTCAGTTGTGAATAAATACTTTACCCTTAAAATAAAAAATTCCAAGCAAATACATGTGCACACTGTCTAACTTGAAATGGACTTAAGTGTCAATAAATGTGTATGTTCAACAATTATTCTATCACTGCTAAGGACTCCATTTGATAGAAATTCTGCAAATTCATATAGAAATTCAGAATATAGGCCAGGAGGGCGGTAAACTACAACAAATAGAACTGGCTCAAAGGTTCTTGAGACTGAATGTGAAAGGCTAAGAACAAGGCTTTCAAAAAGAGTATAATTCAGCTTTGGTCGAGGATTAATTAAAGACTAGAATTAAAAATAGCTGCTACTCCACCACCTCGGCCAGTGTCTTAGAATGACTGGGAGAGGTGTATTCATTTAAACTAATATATAAACTACTATTCATCTTGACACAGCCAGGTTTCAGTTAAACAAAGTAAATCAATTTGATTATCTGATATCAGATCTCGTAATAGATATTTAGATGCTAAGGATCTAATGTTTAAAAGTATGCATTTGATTGTCTGATTTTTTTGCAAAATCGTATTCATAGTTTTAATCTAAATACTAAACCTTTTTTATTTATGTTTGGATTACTTAACAGGGTAACAGGGACAGACACAGTACCATATCGTTTAAGTTTAGTTGCATAGGCATAAGTCAGAGCCCAGGTGGGCCACCATAGTTCAGTCTGGACACGCCCCTGGTTGTGAAGGAGAAAGGTTAGGACCTTTATTGTAAAAAAAAACTTCCTGCACTGAAACAGAACGACTTTATCCATTGTGTCTAAAGTTGATCAATCAACAGAGATTAAGGCCATTTTAGGGTTGTGTGTGTTGAATTGAATAAAATTTATCAGGTATATTTAAACAAGGAGTAATAAAAAGGATATTGGAAGTCACTGGAATCATATCACTTTCTGCACAGATGACAATTTATTATTATAATTATTAGCCTTCTAGACTACACATATTCACTGATGGCCTGTGTTATATGCAGCCTTCAAATGCAACTTGTTAGCAAATTATGGATGCCCAAAGACTACCAAGCATTCAACTGTATTGTGATAGAAGAAAATATTTTATATTTATGTTGGGAATATTAATATTTCCTAAGAAATATTACAAGATGACAGAGAAAATGAAACTTTGAAATATTCACATACCAACCAATGAAAAATGTTGCATATGGACTCCATTCCAAAATATTCCATTGAATTGAGTCAATTATATTTTTGTGTGATCAAAAGTGTATTGGATCTTTTTTTTTAGCTGCCGATGTATAAAGGATTCAAATTTCAAAGCAGCAACAAACTATGTTTTTGTTGGCATTTTTTTGCATTACTTAAACCTATTTTTAATCAACAGTACTTTTAACTATTCAGATCATTCTGTGCATTATAAGTATCTTTATGTAATGCTGTAACAAGGCACCCACATTCACTCTGACTGATTCCCTCTCAGGACTTGCTACAATAACTAACTGTCTGTAATTAAATCAAGTGATAAATGGATTTGAGATGAGTCATTAATTTAATCTCTCCGACCCAGATTGTTTGGCTCGTGTGCGGCGGTACATTGTGACCAAGTTGGGGGAGGATTGGATTTTCCTGGTTCTTCTGGGACTGACTATGGCTCTGGTCAGCTGGAGTATGGACTATGCCAGCGCCAAGAGCCTGCAAGGTACCACGAGTCATAGACTATTACTGTTAAATCTGTAATCTGACAACGCAAAACTATAGTCCTACTGTATACATTTTCATGTTTGTGATTCACTATCACTGTCCTCTTTTCTCTCTCTCTTTCTTTTCCTCTTTCAGCCTATAAGTGGATACATGGGGAGCTCAAGGGCAATGTGGCGCTCCAGTACCTCGCCTGGGTTACCTATCCTATGATCCTTGTCATGTTCGCCTCACTCTTCTGTAACCTGGTTTCCCCACAGGCCATCGGTAAGCTCTCCTTCAGCTGTCAGCATCTGTTATCCCCCCTTGCGACTCCTTTTTACTTCAGTCTGTTTCCAGTGTTTGAGGACAGCAGGATTTTAAAAGTCTTTTATCATTCAGTTCATGTCTTATCTGTTTTTCCCATCTTTCTTCTTTTGTTCTTTTCAGGTTCTGGTATTCCTGAGCTGAAAACCATCCTGAGAGGTGTAGTACTGAAGGAGTATCTGACCCTCAAAGCCTTTGTCGCTAAAGTCATCGGGTTGACCGCCGGCCTGGGAAGTGGGATGCCAGTGGGCAAGGAAGTAAAAAAAAAACACCTCCTTCTATCTCTTTTCTATTTGTTTTACTTTGAATTATCTGTTTGGTACCACTCTCCTCCCCCTTCCTCTTTTCTTTCCTCCATCATTCTATTTGCTTCTTCTCCAAGCTTGGAGGATGATAAATCATCTTCTGTCATGTTTTTCGTCCCTCCTCTCACGGGAATGAAACAAATTATTTCTCAGCAAAGGAGTTCATTCATTTTCCCCATTACAGTAGCAGGGCAACTGTCACATCCAGCAATCATACAATGATTTATCTGTTCTGTTACAACATGTCCTAGTTTAGGCTCCTTGTTTTGCGGACAATAGTCAGGGTCCGTGTGCATAACGTTACATGTCGCTCATCTGTGTCTGTGATTTCCTCCTGTCACCTTCAGGGTCCCTTTGTCCACATCGCCAGTATCTGTGCTGCAGTGCTCAGTCGATTCATGTCCATCTTCTCTGGAGTCTATGAGGTAAGCTGCATTACTACATTACCAAAAAGAAGCCTCATGTCCTTGTTCACCACAGTCAATGCAAAATGGAGATGAGGAAAATGGGACTACGTTCATGTTGTTGTCATTGCTGTGAAAACAGGGTTCCCACTCATCCTAACAAAAATATCTGTATTGTTTTAGTAAAGTGATTGTTTCTGTAAATAAAGTAGAAGCTGACGTAACTCTGAAACATTATCTGGTTTATTTTCATTTTGACTCTAAATGACACCATAGTTTACAAAATGATGTTTGCATCGAGTGTGGAGTAGTAGTGGCAGTAGTGAAGTGTCAGATCCAGGGGCTCGTCCACTTCTTAAATTAAACTATGATGCATCTTTTAGCATTCAACTTCAACTACAATTACTGTATGGCTAAACAATGTTTCAGTTTACCAATATGCCAGTTTTGAGTCGATAAAAAGTTTTGCAAAGTTCCTTGGATTTGAGAAAGAGAAAGTGGGAATCATGTGACTGTTGTCATTCCTCATCTGTTCCTCCCGAGTCTTTGTTTTGGCTCGCCCCCTCACACCTCGTCTGTGTTTGTGTTTCACTGTATTAATAGTGTGATGGTAATGTCTGGCATGTGTATTAACAATAACCTCCCATATCCCTGTCTCCCTCTTTCCCTGCTCTCTCCCCTCGTCTTTCCCGTTCGTCCCTGCTCGTTTGTGTCGCCTCTCCTCCCTCCCTATCTGTCTCCCCCCCTTGACCCTTAACCCCAGAATGGCACCCATAACCAGGACCTGTTGGTGTGTGCGTGTGCTGTGGGAGTGGCCACCTGTTTCGCTGCTCCCGTGGGAGGCAAGTGCTGCCCTGCTGACTCGCTTTGGCACGGGGTCTCCAGTCAGTTTTGTCCTCCTGAAATAACATCAGCAGCATAAACACGGAGGTTAAGCTTGACCAACCCAGTGTTGTTCATCACAAGTGATGATTAAACTAAGTCTTTCAAATGAAGATGCAAATTAGCCCCTTCTAAAACTGACTTAATGTCATATGACTTAAAAGTGACCTTGAATAATTAAATATTTTAGTAAATTCACTTCTCACTTTCTGCTGAGAATGTGATGAATGTATACATACCACTCCTATGTCTGAATGCTAAATATTGAGCTAAATCCAGCATGCACTTAGCTTTAACATTAAGGTTGAAAGCGATTAGCCTGGCTCTTTCCAAATGTATGAAAATCAATCCAGTAGCACCTTAAAAAGCAAGTATGTAATACATATATATGTATTAAGTAAATATCATGTAGTTTAGATCAGTGGTTCTCAACTGGTGGGTCTGGACCTCTGGGTCAGTGGGTCGCGAATGTGTGCCTGGAAAAAAACTTCCGTAAAAAAGTTTGTGAAGCACTTTTTAAAAATGTTTGTTTTGTTCAGTTTCTTGTTTATGTCACATGTTTTGTACCAACTGAGGTCCAGACTGCACAATTTTTCAGTAAATAAATCTGATTGGTCGAAAAATTTCCAAAATTTGGGTCGCGATTTTTCCTGGAGGAGTTGGAGGTGGGTCTCGAGACTAGACCAGTTGAGAACCACTGGTTTAGATAATAATATTTTGGCATTTTAAACAAACTAATTAAAGATGATGTATTATTAACTTTTAAGAGACGCTGGGAAGCAATTTCATTTTTTAATAAGGCCAGGTTAACGTTTATAACCCTTTGCTTCTGGTCTTTTATGCTAAGCTAGGCTGATTGACAATTGTAGATTGCTGAATTTTTTTTGTCTACAGATGTGAGAGTTCTTTCAATCTTAACACATAAATCTCAAGAGGAACTAGATTTGGTTTACGATTAATAACTGTAATTAAGCCTTAGATTTTAAGAAAGCTCAATCAATCTGCAATCAATTTCCATTTGTATTGCACCAAATCATAGCAAGTGTTATCTCAAGACACTTAACAGAAAGAACAGGTTTAGAAAATACTCTTTAGTATATTAATTACAGTGTACGTGACAGAACCTTATGATTCAAGGTCATGGATATTCAGTTGAACTATTTGTGTGCTATCGGCCTGCAGTTGGCTGCAGGGCTGCAGGGAGTATGACCACTCTGTTTGTCTCCTATATTGTTTAATTTGCCTCCTCTAAGAATGATGACTCTTACTGGCATGTGCATCCTCTGCTTTATACCCTCTTGATGTGATTTTTTTATATCCTTTCTTTATGACTTTTTAAACTCACACTCCAGTGATCATTATTTATTCACTTTATTTCATTTTGCCTTCCCTCTCTCAATTCTCTCCCCTGTGGTTCCCATCTTGTCTCTCCTCCTTGATCTGGTATTCTCTCTTTCACGGACTCCCTTTCCTGTCCTTCTGTCTACTCTATTGTTCCTCCTCACTTTCACCCCCCCCCCCCCATCCCTCTTGTCTTCACCCCTTCGTTTTCCGCTCGTTTCTCCCTCTCTGTTTTCTGTGTCAGTAGAACCCTTATGGTTACACAGATATTCTGACTGTTGGCTGTGCCGTTGGGGTTGGATGCTGTTTCGGCACTCCACTAGGAGGTACTGTACAACCTACACACCAACATCTAACTGCACAAAAAATCTCCTTCTCCTGGATCAACACAGCACTGAGGCTGGACCTGATCTTCTCGAGTACTCACAGAAATGTGTCACAGAGCACAGAGAGCTTGCTAGAATCAGAAGATTAGATAATATGATAATGTGTTTGTTGCATTGTTGTACTCCTTATTGAATTGAGAAATGTACTTTTAATATTTGGGCAAAGGTCTTCTGTAAGACATCATGAGGAAGTGAAGCCTGATATTTTTTTTATTGCCAATACTGATAATTATTGTTTGAGTTTAAAATATTAAATAAGCTGACAATGATTATTTTGTTTAGATCACAAGATATATTTTCTTCATATTTAGGTTCATTTCGGGGCTTTTAATGCCTTTTTTTTAAAGAGATAGGACAGTGGATAGAGTCAGAAATAGGGTAGAGAAAGATTGGGGAATGCCATGTGGGAAAGGAGCTACAGGTCAGGTCAGAAATCTTGGAGGACAACGGCCTCCGTACATGGGGTGTGGGCACCAACCTCTACACTGCTTTGGCTGTAACACAAATAAAGTCTTATTGATTGATTGATTTAAATTGAAAATGGGCATATACTTTTACCAAAATAATGCATTTTCTCCTTTTTAACATTTGGTATGTTCTCTTTATTCTACTTTTAATCAAATGTGGGGTTTCAGTGTTTTACAAGCCTTGAATTATAAGGTTTAGTCTGCAAAACAGGGTTCCAGTGAAAAATTGAACCTTTAAGTTATTAGCACCCAACCCCTTCTGTTTCTCCCAGCTGTAAAACAGGGCTGTACATTTGTGACAATGCAGACATCTGACCACACCAAACCAACCAATCAGAGAAGAAAAATGTTTAAACTCACTCTATTGCAGCCTGGAGTTACTGTTGAGCTAGTCTTTACACACTGATGAGTCATTGAGCCACATCTTAAAATGGAATGACCTTGTGATAATAAAATATGTTTATATTTATCAAAATGAGGTGTTAAAATCAGGATGAGATTGGATTCAGTTTTTAAAAGAAAGTTATTTAATAAAAATATGAGAAATGTATTTGTGTGTGTGTGTGTGTGTGTGTGTGTGTGTGTGTGTGTGTGTGTGTGTGTGTGTGTGTGTGTGTGTGTGTGTGTGTGTGTGTGTGTGTGTGTGTGTGTGTGTGTGTGTGTGTGTGTGTGTGTGTGTGTGTGTTCTGACCTTGCCTACTGTGAGGGACATATTTCAGACTTAAGACCAGGTTAATTTAAACCACCTTGGGGTCAAAAGCTGAGTTTTGTGTCACGGGTTAGAGTTCAGTTTATGATTGTTTAGAAAATAATTTAAGTTTATAAATCCTTTTAAGAGTCAGTAAAGTAAACATGCGAGAGTGTTTGTATGTTTTCTTCATTATGTGTATGTGTGAGTGAGCGTCTGGTAGTGTTTTAGTGAATGTAATCACTCCCTGTGGCTCTCCTGTTGTGTATAATTACACCCTCAGCTTCAAGTGTTTTTGGATTCATTTGAACTAATTTCGGTCATCTCTCTCCTTCTCTCCTTCACTCGCTTTCTCCTCTTTCTATTTTCTCTCACTCTCCTCTCTTCCTCGGCTTCTCTCCTCTCACACTATCCATCCTCATTTTCCCTCTCTTTTTTAATCCCCACTCTCCCTCCGTCCTCTCCCTCTCTCTCTCACACTCTCTCTCTCTCTCTGTCTCTCCCTCCATCATCTCTCTCCCTCTCTCTCTTATACCACCAGGAGTGTTGTTCAGTATTGAGGTCACGTCTACCTACTTTGCAGTGAGGAATTACTGGCGGGGATATTTTGCCGCCACGTTCAGCGCCTTCATATTCAGGGTGCTCTCTGTTTGGAACAAGGATGCTGGTGAGAGGCAGACACACACACACACACACACACACACACACACACACACACACACACACACACACACACACACACACACACACACAGAAAACACAGTTTTTAAAGACTGCTGAGCTGACACATTTCATGGATAGAAGCTGAATAAGACAGCTAAGCAACATTTGCTTCTTGAGATAAACCAGAAATATTTCAAGTCATCACATACAGAATATTTTAAATCCCATGCCACCAATGAATGAAAATGTCATCTTGCTTCTAAATAACTGCAGCATATATCTGTGTTTTTTTCCTTATCAACTTCTTACAGTTTAAAGTAATAGCTTTTCAAATATCGTATTTTGTGTAGCAACTTCTTTTTTTCTGTCTTATATCCAAGAAATCAACTCTCTAACTCAACCTGACAATCATCTTTCTGTAACTGTCCTTACATCTTACAATCAGACGTGATTATAGCTTATTTGAATGTTCTACAAGTATGTAGTTAAAAAAAGGGTAAAGTCACAGGGATTGATTACTTGTTTTAAAGGTTTATTTTGGGGCTTTTTATGCCTTTATTATAGGACAGTGGATAGAGTCAGAAAGCAGGCAGAGAGATATTGGGTAGTGACATTCTTGAAAGGAGCCACATCTTGCTCCAAAAAATAAAACTCAAGTTCAACATATGGAGGTCATAAATAGGAATTGAGATCACATGTTTGATGTTTTTATTTAATTTTTTTTTTTTTAATCACATTTCTCTTCTTTGTTTTCCAGTTACCATCACAGCTCTCTTCAAAACTAACTTCCGGATGGATTTCCCCTTTGACCTGCAGGAACTACCTGCATTTGCAATAATAGGGTGAGGATACACGTAAATACATGTATGTAATTGTGTGTGCAAAGTTCATTTTTTTAAAAACGTTTGTTACAGAAATTGGTCTTTTCCTTAATCCTTGTGTGGGCTGAATTGTTTTTTCTTCATGTTTTAGGATCTCGTGTGGATTCCTTGGGGCGTTCTTCGTCTACCTGAACAGACAGGTGGTCCTCTTCATGAGACGGCCAACAGCACTCACACGCTTCCTAACCAGACAGTGAGCTCCCGGCACACCAACACACAACTGTACACTCACTGCTGTTGTGGATTTATGGGGTGTTCGCACTGAAACAGCAGTGATCTGTTCGCAGATGCTGTTCCAAAAGACTCAAACCATTTGTGCATTCAAACCCAATTCCTCTTAATGTGTCTCAGCTCCACTCTCCCAACTCATCAGTCTCACAACACTGGCCAGAACAGCAGCAAAGCCTTAACAACCTTTCAGCCAGTTATTCACTCAATGTGGAGATTCACTTATCCTCAGAGACTGAGCAGTCAGGGAACATTAGCGTCCACCATTAGAGACGAGCAGCAGCAGCAGGAGAGCTGTACAATCAACAGAGCTACACACTTATTTCTGTTGCAATCTCTAGTTATCGTGCCATATTGTGGGTATAGGAGTGCTCTGATTCCTGTTAATGAC